CCCCCCCCCCCCCCACGTTGGACTGTGACCCAAACAACAGATTAGCTCTCAGTCCACTGAGATCTGGGGTACATCTGTTACAGCAGCAAGTGCGCCCTAACCCAGAGGGGACAGAGATGTCCTGTGACTCTCCCCGGCCCCGTGTAAACTCTCCACACTCCTGCACCAGGTAGTGACGGGGGAAATTCTGTCTCATTTGTAGCCCTGTTTCCTAGAACGTTCTCCCAATGTGTCCCCTCTGTGACCGTGGAGGGACATACACGTCTTCCCCCTCAACCCGACACCACCCCCATCCACCGCACAATCTCTTCCTTGGCTTTTTAGCACTCCGGGCTGGCTTAAGCAATCTGGAAATGACCGGCCTTCCCTCTTCTGTCCTCCATCTGTGGCCACATCCCTCCCTGCCCACTGGGACCTTTGCAGGAGAAACGACCCAGGAAACAGAGCTCACGCAGGTCAAAGAGGAGGTGGGAACTCTGGAGGGAAGAACTCCAGCCTGAGGAACAGGCACAGACTTTTGGCCAGACCAGCACTCATTCAAGCCCAGCATCACCTCCTCCTGGAGGCCCTCCTGCCTCCTCAGTGGCTGGGGCCCCGCCTGACACAGCTCAGAAACCTCACACACGGCTCGGAATGGGTGAGTGAATGAGCAAATGAATGAATGAACAAATGAATGAGTGGGTGGGTGTCTTGCACACAGTGACTCTGACACTGCCATCGGCTGCAGGTCCCAACTGCAGGGGTGGGAGGGCTCCTCTCTCCACTCCAGAGCAGGGGTCTGCAGAGAACAGCCACCACTGGGACGAGGGTGCCGAGGGCAGGGCTGGAGGGACCCATGCCATGACCACACGCTGACCCGCCCGCCCTGCCTGGACTGGCTGCTGGCAGCCGTGCCCACTGGCCGGGACCTGCCCCATCAGACAGGAGCGGTTCTGGAGGGACAGAGAGCTGCCCCCCAGCTCCCTGCACCAAGCCGTCCACGTGCACGGTGGAGGCTGCCGAGCGGACTCACGATGCCGTTCTGCACGCTGAAGCCCAGCTGGTACTTGAGGTCTGGCCGCTTGATGAGGACGGTGGTGACCGGCGGGCAGCTGACGATGTTGAGCTTCACCTGTGTCTGGTTCTTCAGACCCTGCAGAGGAGGAACAGGAAGCCCAGTGGGTCTCAGATGCCGCTGGGAGGACAACCTCAGGGGCCTGGGAGGGTGAGCCAGTGGCAGGGCAGAGCCCCGGGAGCTGGGGGACCGAGCCAGGCAGGCCCCTCCCAGCCCTGGTGTCCCTCTGTGCGTGGATGCAGGCATCACCCTGACCAGATGCAGGGGTGCTGGGCATCCCAGGTGGCAGTGTGTGCCGTGGCCCCTGTGCTCTGGTGTGCCCTTTGACATGGGAAAAAAAAAGCTGCCCTGGGGGCAAGGCCAGGCTCCGAGCGCCTCTGTGCACAACCAAGAAGCCGGCACCAGGTCACCCTTGGTGGTGCCCAGGAGGGGACCTGGCCATGCTGAGTGCAGGAGGACTTCCTGTTTGGGAAGGTGGGGGCACCTTCCTCAAAACAAAGCATCCTCCAGTGATGGACTCTCATGCTGGGGGTGGTGCGAGGACAGGGTGTGGCCAGCAGAGCGGAAATCTGTCAGCAGGAGGCTCTGGTGTCTATGCTGAGACAGGCCAAGGAAGACCTCAGGCCCCAGAGGACAGTGGATGCTGTGGCCATGGTCCTGGGGTTGGGTGGGGGGAGGGGAAGGGGCCCAGTGGCTGCAGCAGCAGGGAGCTTCTCCTCTGTGCACATGTGCGTGCGCACACACACACACACACACACACACACACACACACGGCCCCATCAGAGCCCAGGTTAGAAACTGCCCCAGGAGCTGCAGCCCTCAGAGCGAGGGTCCCGGCTGGCCAAGCCTCTGGTACCTCTGATGAAGGCCTCTTCTGTGCCTGTCTGTCTGTCTAGCTGCACAGTACCCACTGGGTCCCCAGGTCCAGGAGCCCCCTCACAGGGCCTTCATCTCTGAGTGACAAGGGAGAACAGAGGCCCATCCTCCAGCTCCGAGACCACAGCAGGGCTGGAGGGAATGAGCCGCGGGACAGATGGCCCCCCGTAGGCTGAGCCACTGTCTGGACCCTTGAACAGAGCAAAGGCACCGCCGTGCTGAGGTCCCCCTGGATGGCTGCCCGACACTTCAGCCCGGGGGGCTCTCACAGACAAGCAGGGGCCACCTGTTTGTGTCCCGTCAGCGTGACCCTCTCTAGGGAGGGTCTGCACCTCCCGAACCTGCAGGCTCACGGGTCAGACAGTGAGAGCAGCCTCCCAGCTCAGATCCAGGCAGGGGAACCAACCTCCCTGTTTGCCCAGCAGGTGAGACTGTCAGCGAAAAGTCCCAGGCAAACTGAGACAACCTGGTCACCCGACATCTATAGGTCCTCGGCCCTCACCTGGGGGCAGCCCAGGTCCCTCTCTGATGTCAGGGCCGTAGTACAGTCTTAGGTTCAAAGTCACTGGGTGGGTCTCTCTGGGCTCAGCATTCTGGTGGGTGAGGGGGGGATTACAAAGCAGCGAGGATATAGCGAGGTGGGGCCCCGCACCCACCTTGATGATGCCCTGGCAGGTGGCGAGTGGCAGCCCCACCAGGCTGGTGCCGTTAATGGACATGATCTGGTCACCGATACTCAGCTTCCCTGAGCGGGCAGCTGGACCTCCATTCATCATGTTGGCCAGGATCACGGTGGGTAGGATGGAGCCCCAGCCCGACTCCACCACCACCACACCCAGGATCTCACCCTTGTGCTTCTCCAGCTGCAGCTGCAAGGAAATGGGCAGGGTAAGAGAGGCCCACCTGAGATGGGGGCTGGGGGCTGGGCCTCTGCCCAGCATCCCGGAAGGACCAGCCCGACCCGGGCCAGGTGCCTGCCTTGCCCTCAGAACCGAGGCCACCTCCTTGCGGCCAGCCTGCTGTCTCCCTGGCCTCGTCCAGCTCTGGCTCCCAAGCCCTCCTGGGACCCACCCAACCATCCTGGGAACCAGGAGCACAGACCCCCTCCTCCAGCCCCAAGCTTGGCTCCAGTGTCCCGGCTCCTGCCCCCGCCACCAGCCCCACGGAGGCTAGAGGGACGTGTTCTTAGAGTCCAGATGCACACCCAGCCCGGCCCCCGCTCTTGTCTGGAAAAGTCCTTCTATTTTCTCTCTGCCTCACGGGTCACTCACAGAAAGCTGCCTGTCATTCATTCATTCAGCAACAAGCCAGGATCATTCAGTCATTCCCAAGCAGTTAGGGTACAGGCCACCCCCAGGGATTTGCTCCTCTTCTCTGAAGAACTTTCTAGAGACCCCTGAGCAAACCCACTGGAACCTGCCAAGGCTTCACTACGGGCGGCCTCCCAGCACCCTGGGCAGAGCCCCAAGTTCCCCGTTTTCAAGATGCCTCCCGCACGCTTTCCAGAAACACCTCGAGGGGCTGAGCCCCCATCTAACAGCAGCATTAAAAGGCACATTTTCAAGGTCATTTTAAGACTGACCGTCAGCAGCTTCTCCCCTACATCAGCACCGCATTCCCACACAAGTGCTCGCTGCGAAAGCAGGGGCCACACACCAGGAAGGCTTGACCCCGCCCGGCCCGCCAGCTGTGCCCCCCATCCCGGGCACCCACCTCTTTGCAGTTCTCCGAGTTGGAGAAGTGGATGAGGTCGTCGTTGTACATCTCCTGGGTGTTGATGATGTCGCTGTACTCCTTCTGGCTCAGGTCCTCGGGGTTGATGCCGTTGGCCCGCAGGAACTCCTGGTAGGCCACGCTGAAGGCCTGGCCGATGGACTGGGCAATGAGCTGAGCCTGTGGGGAGGGGCGCCCAATGGAGACGGGCAGGCGCACGGGCGCCAAGGGGGGGCCACAGAGAGACCATGGCCCGGGTCTCTGTCGGGGGAGCCCTTCTGCTGCTGGTGCCCTGCCTGTCCCCACCCGAGCTCCCTTAAATTCCAGACATCCTAAGACAAAGCACAGTTTCCAATAACGTCTGGGGAAATTATGAATTATTTGCTAATGATCATAGTTTCATTGCTTTCACTGGCGACTGTACTATATTTTCTTTTCACCCATCTTTTTTTTAACAAGTGTTTTATTTATTTAAATATTTATTAATTATTACATTTAATGAAATTTAAACTAATTTATTTAAAATTAAATTAATATTTATTAAATAAGTATATTTATTTGGCCCATGAGGGCTCTTAGTTCCCTGCCCTGTGCAGTGGAAGCGTGGACCCCTAACCACTGGACCGCCAGGGCAGTCCCCCACCCATCCTATTCTTAACACAGACTGGGGGGTGCATCCTCTGGGGAATGTCACAGAGACTGTCAGTCACCCACCCAGTAATGACTTCTCTGGAGCAACAGGACCCAGTCCAGCCGCGGGGGGGTGGTGCAGGCAGGATGTGTGCCCAGCTGCTCTCGTGGGGCATGTGGATGTGTCAGGCTGAGGCCAACGAGAAGCATGCGACCTTGGGGACACCAGCACAGGGCAAATCGTGGAGCCAATCACTTCTTTCTACTTCAACAGGCCCACTTTCTATGGACTGGACTGAATCTGATACTGCAGAGGCCCAGACTCTGAACAGTCACTGCCAAAGCTTACATGCCACCTGCTGGTGTGCAGATAAAGGATCATGGGAAGTGAGGGCTAAGGACCCAACTCCTGGGCCACGTCAAGTACCCTGGCAGCCAGGCAGCTGGGGGAGAGCAGTGGGACCCCTCAGCAAACCTCGGGTCAACAGGGCCTGAAAACATGTGGAATTGAGGGGTTCGGCCTGAATCCCATTCTTGCTCTACACGCTGCATGATTCTTGGGCTGCGAATGAATAAGTCTTTGTGAAAAACGCGGGCTGGGCTGGATAACAGAGGGAGAGCTCGGAGCCCTTCGATTCTAGACCAGACGGCCCTCCCAAAATTGGGCCCCGAACGGTCGGCAGGAGGGAAGCCCGGGTCCACTACGCAGGACCAAGCCCTGACCGCCCGCAGGAGCAGCGTCCTGGCAGTTTTGGCGGCTCTGCTCAGAGGGAGAACCAGCCACAGGTACGGAGCCCCGGGACCACCAGGTGGCGCCACTGGCCCAAACGTGTATGGAGACGGTGGAGGGAGCTCCGCGGTGGCAGGTCCTGGAGAGCGCCTGGCCCGAGGCTCAGGCCAAGCTGAGGATCCAGTGGGGCCTCCAGGAGGAGGCTGGTCCCAGGATGGAGGGTGGAGGGCCGAGGGCCACCCAGAGGCCTGGATGTGCCCTGCCCCCCCTGGGGGTCTCAGGTTTGCTGACACCAGCTGCCCTCAGGCCTCTGGGTCCATCTTCCTCTGACTGGGGTCCCCTGGCTGGGAAGGGGGTGTGACAGCATCACTTCCTTCCCCCCGCCCACTGCCCACTGCCCTGAGCCTCCTCTCTGAGCTCTGCCCGGTCGGCGCCCATCACCTGGGGGAGCGCCTGGGAGGGCAAGGTGGTCCATGCCTGGGCTCCATGCGGCGCAGTCCGGGAACCTCGGCGTCTTCCCATCAGCAGCTGGCTGCAGTCTCCCATCCCCCGTCTGCCCTGAGTCCTGGCATCCCTGCCACCTGAGCTGGGGCCAGTCATGAAGGATCGCCCCTGCCCCCAGGTCACAGCCAAGGCTGTGAGCCCAGAAAGGTAGGGAACGTCACGGGGGCCTCCCCGAGGGGCTGGCATTGGAGGCTGGCACTCAGAGGGGGCCTCCTGCAGGTGGGCGAATAGTGGGGGGCGCTGCCCACTTCTTTGGCTCACCTGCACTGCCCTCCACTTTACAGAAGGGAAATGGAAACTCTGAGAGGGCCACCAGGGTCCTTAGGGCCACCTTCCATTTTCTCCAGGTGTCCCCCTCTGTTCTCACTGGACCCTGGATCCTTCACTCACCCCAGCAGCAGTCGGGCCCTGATGGGGCCACCATCAAGGTCCAACTCTCAGGATGGCTGCTCCATCCCCTCACGCCCCTCCCAGCCCATCCTTCCCATGTGCCTTCAAGGACCACCTGGAACTCCGCCCCCACCTTTGCTCTCAGCCTTCTCTCCCACGGAATAGAGAAACCCAGGCCACAGCAGCACCCAGGGTATGGTGGGCACCTCGGAGCCCCTTCCTGCTCCCCGAGCCAGCAGACTGTTCACCCCCTGCCACTTGGCCTGCTTCTTGCCGCACCTGCCCATCACCACAGCCCTTCTCCAGGACCCATCACATGCCCCCAGGCCGGGTCTCTGAGACTCCTCGAGCCGTGAGCCAAACAAATTCCCATGCAGGTGTCCACAGACATCTGTATAATGGTGAAAGGAACACGTGTGTGCACTGGTGAGTCTGTATGTAAATCTCCTCTCCTATAAATGTGTCATTGCTTCAAAGCACTTGTAGGTGACTTCAATTTCTCAGCAAAAAGGTCACTGCCTCCACCCACCCTGCATTCAAACATGAAAACACTGGGACCCTTCCCCACTGCTCCGGGTCCCTGACACACCCTCAAGTCCCTTGGTAACCGAGAATGCCCTTTTTCCAAGCATCCATGGAGGAGAGAAAATTTTTTAAAATCCTGCTCTGGCAACAGCCCCAAGAACAGCTCAGCTGTTGCCTCCTGGGTGATCCTGAATCAGATCTGCCCTGCAGGAGGCAGCCCAGAGACCCCGCTCACCTCCTGCCCTGCGGCTCCCTTCCCCGGTCCCTTTCTCCCTCTTCCAGGCTCAGAAAGATGCTCTCATCCCATCCAAGGAAGGAGTCAATGGGCTTATGGTCTCTTAGCGAGTCTGCGGTATTTTAAACGTCAGAATTACAGTTGACCCGTGAACAAAATGGGGATTAGGGGCTGTGACCCTCTGTACAGTCTATAAAAAATCTGTGTCTAACTTACAGTCAGCCCTCCGTACCCGCAATTCCTCCGTGTCCGCGGTTCATGATCGCGGAGTCAACCAAGGCAGATGGTGTAGCGCTGTAGCATCTACTACTGACAAAGGTCCATGGGTAAGTGGGCCCTCGAAGTTCAAACCCATGTTGTCCAAGGGTGCACTGGATTTTCCAACTTCTTATGGCCTGAAATGGCCATGAGCAGAAGCAGAGGCGCTTCCCCATTTGCAACCCTGGAGTGTGGGGCGTGCATCTCAGCAGAAAAGTTAGTCAAGGGCTACTTTATTTGGGGAGAACAAGGTTTTGTTAAAGGACCTTGTCAAAGAGCTCCTCGGCATATTTAAGTACGGTTCCATTTACAAACAGCTCCTGAAAAACTTATTTCATGAAGCGAAACAGAGCTGTGTTCACGGTCTCTGCAAACTCAGAGTGTTAGAAAAATCACCACTTCCACTGGAAGCGTCCCTGATGGGGCACAGAATCCACATCCTCTGTGTGCTTTCCTGGGACCACAGAGCCCATGGGGCCTGGGCCGTCGGGAGGGGAACGTCACACCCGAGCGTTTACTTACATCCTCGGACTCAAACACGTGGCAGATCATCTTATACTGCTTCTTTCCCTCCTGGGCCCCGGGGGTGGTCTCGATGCAGTCCTGGGAGGCTGAGCGCGGCATGCGGCGCCTGGCCATCAGCACCACGATGTTCCCGATGTCCGCGATGTAGGAGATGGTGCGAAGGGCGTGGTCCATCATGGTCTCCTGCCGCGAGAGGCATGAGAGGGCCTGCGTTACAGGGAACGAGCCCTAAAACACACCCAAGTTTGGGGGCTCTCAGCCTCGACACTCCTGACGTTTGGGGCTGGACCATTCCATACTGTGAGGGTGTCCTGGGCACTGTAGGACATTTAGCAGCATTCCTGGCCTCCACCCACTAGACGCCAGTGGCATCTCCTCCATCCCAAGTTGTGACGACCACAAAGATCTCCAGCTGTGGCCAGATCTGCCCTGAGGGACAGAGTCTCCTGGGTAGAGAGCCACTGCCCCAGTGAACAGAGCATTTTAGGGCAGTGATTCCCAGTCAAGGTGATGTGCCTTCACCTTAGCCTTGCAGCTTCCAAAATGATGCTCGTGGGGGCATGACGCTGGGTGGGGCTCCCGGTCCTGTGGGGGAGGGGCAGCAGCTGAGGCCCGTCCCCACCCGATCGGAGGCCATCTGTGGCTCTGGAGAAGGCGCCTCTCCCTGCAAGGCAGGCGCCTGGCTCAGACTTCCTGCCAAGCAGAGGAGGAAGGCTCCAGAGCCAGTGTTTCCCAGGGATGAGCTCGTCCCAGGAGCTCAAGCAGCATGGGCCTGGGCAGGGGATCCCGAGGCAGCCCGCCTGACTCTGATGGATGGGTCTCCGCAGTCTTTCAATCCCCCTGAGGCCCTGGCGGGCCCATCACTCTCGATGGCTTTTGTCATCTGGCAGAAATCTCTACCAAGCATCATTCCCGGGACCCCTACCTAACAAGGCTGCACACAGAGGCTCTGAGAAACTAATCAGCTGGTCTTTTATGCCTTTGTCCTCTTTCCAGAAAAGAAAATGGGGCGTTTCTGCAACCCCTGCAGCCCCTGTCTTCCTCACAGAAGCCACTTCTGCACACTTGCCTTCCTGGAGCTGCTGTGTTTTCTGGCCAGCTCGGGGTGGGGGGGGTGCGGTTTATAACCACAAGAACCCCCTTCCAGGAGGGGCCGCTGGAAAGGGGACAGTGGAGGTGGCTCTTCGGCATCTCTTGATTTCCAGCCACTTTCAGAAACACCTGACTCAACCCCCAGGTGTCAGAAATGAGCTTCTCCCCATCTCCGAGCACCTGTCAGTGGCAGAGCCCGCTTCCTCCCAGACAAGGCCGCCCGCCACGTGGCCTCGTCCCCTTCCTGCCCCAACCGGCCACTCGAGTTCCCACAGTCTCTGCATCTGTTCCTGCCTCCCAGCTTCTCTGCTAACATTTCTTATTATATAGTCAAACCAATTTCCGACCACCACACTTCCAGTTCATCCTCAGCGACCTCAGAGCAAATTCTCAAACGATCCACGGTGCCCACAACTGGCCAGGCTACCCCCGACACCTCGGCCAGGCAGCCAGGCCACGGCTCATGGAACCTTTCTGACCCACCTTCCCAGCTCCTGTTCTCCTCGTTCTCGGCGAGGGGCCAGTGCTCGGTTAGTTCACCTTTAGGAAGCACCATCCACCCCCGACCCCCAGCTAATAACCCTGCATGACCTTCCCTCTCCCCAAGGCCAGTTCCGAGGTTCCAGGGTGTGTAGTCAGGGAACCCGGCCTGTCTCATTCAGGGCGGCCAGCATTTTCTCCTGAGCACACAGGGAACCAGGTGTGTCCCATCTTCCCAGTGAGATGGGGGCTCCTCGGGAGCCAGGCACCTCTGCTTCTCCCACCAGCCCCGACCTCCCAGCCAAGAACGCTACGAGCAATGACCCAGACACCCGCTGTACTCCAGCAAGACAAGTCATTGACGTTTCCATCATGGAAGAGAACAGAGAGCAATCCCACCAGATCTAGTTCTCAACCGTGTGTGCAAACACCCCGAGTTCTCTCTCTCCCCCAGGGCCTCTTCATGTGAGGGGGACAGGGCCCCAGCAATGGTGGGGCTTTGCTTACCAACCCACAGGAGACCTGCTCCCTGCAAAGCAGATGCAGGATGAGGCCACCAGCCCTCACTCCCCACCAGGCTCCGCAGAGGAGGTGGGTGGGCATGGACAGGGGAGCAGACTCTCCCCGCTGGTGGGGAGCAGACCCAGGAGGGAGCTGCTTCCCCTGAAGAACGAGGACTCCCCACGTGGGGAGACCCGGCTGTGAGGATGCACAGGAACGCCGGGAGAAGGAGATGAACAATGAGAGAGCAAGATGCCGGGCACCGACCACGCCGCAAACTGCCATGGTGAGGAGAGCCCGATGGGACAGAGCGACGGGGGCTTTCCACTGGAAAACGGGAAATGAAAACACTCTTTAAATACCTCCGATGAGCAGAGGTGAAGCTCAACCAGAGAAGGGGGAGGACTCTTAAAGTTGAACTTCAAAGACCGCTGGAGGGGCAGTAAGAAGGACCATGACCAGCTTGCCTCCTGCCAGGGACCTCCAGCGAGATGCTGCCCGTCGAGGACCCTGTCCTGGTGGTCCTGGATGCCGTCCTCGCTTTGCCCTTCCCCTGGCCTGGCACAGCTCGGCCGACCCAGTGGCCATGAACCTGAGCCCTAGGGAGCTTCGGGCTTCCCCAGGACACCTGACCCACTGGAGATCAGGGGCACATCCTCCTCCACACCAGATCCCAGTCATCAGTAGCACGTCCCTGGGGCAGCCCGCATAGGCTGAAAACCCTGAGGTCTCCTGCTCTGTGGTTCTGAAACATTCCTGTCCACAGAGACCTGGGGAGCCACGGGAACCTCCAGCAGCCACCAGAGGCTCCAGGGCAGGAGCTGTGACTATGGGGGCTCAGCCAGCCCTCCGCAGAGGATGCGGGCAGGGAACAGCATGTAGGAGAAGATGCCAGGAGGTCTATGGTGGCAGTCAGGACTCTTGGAGAGAACCCGAGAGCCAACGTGGAGAAAGCAAAGCTTCAGGAAGAACACAAGAGGGCAAAGAGCCAGCACAGACAGATGGTCAAAACCACAGCACAGCCCTGCTCTGTAGCCGGGAGGTGAGCACCGGCCAACAGATGCTGGTCTGGGCAGCGGCTGTGCATGACTTGGCCACGATGCTGCGGCTGGTGGGATGGAAAGCCCACATGTGTTAAGGACCGACCTTGAACGAGCAAAGCAAAGGAAATTGTGGCTTCTGGCTCTGCCCACTCTTGGGAACGGACGCCCTGTCCCCGGGCCCTGTTCAGACACCAAAGACCCAGAAGGAGGGAAGGGAGGAGTGAGGGGAAGGGGCTGGCATGTGTGAGCCCTGCTCTGAGTCGCCTCATCTGTCCTTCAAGGGGCCCGGCGCTGGGCTCTCCTCTGAGAATCAACAGGGCTCCGAGATATCCCGAAACTTGTCCAAGGCCTCAAGTTCACAGGGATGGGCCCAGTTTCCAGTCTCTGCTGATGCAGGAGCATCAGAGAAGGGCTGACAGAACAGGCCTGACACTGTCCACAGAGAGCCTAACCGCAGGTGGCCTTCAGCCCGTCTGGAAACCTGGATTTCAGGAGGGTTCCAGACATGCCACCCGACATGGTAAGAGTGGCTCACCTTGCCTGAGGCATTTGGGCAAGCAGCGTGCTCCAGCCTGAGCCCCGCTTGCTTTCAGGAGCCTGGGACTTTGGTGCATGGCAGACAGCACAGGTGCCTATGTGATGACCAGCCCCCAGTAAAGACCTTGGGCGCTGACGCTCTCAAGCTTACCAATGGCCCACGTCTCACACGTGCCGTCGCAGCTCGCGGCTGGGAAGTTCAGCTCATCCTGCGTGACCCCATCAGGCGAGGACCCTGGATTTCCCTGGGCTCAGCCCCAGGCATCTTCTTCGCTGGTTTTGCTCTGTATCCTGGTGCCGTAGTAAATCACAGCCTTGAGTACAACTATATGCTGAATCCCTTGAGGCCTCTTATCAACTTATGGAACCTGGGGTGGTCTCGGGGACCCTGACAGGTGGGTGGATGAGGGATGAGGGCTGGGGGGCGGGAGGGAGGATCTAGTCCAGACAGTTTGCCCACGGAAGATCAGGAAACAAAGCCCGAGGCTGTGAAGTGTCCTACGCCTGACCCGGTTGGGTGGCTCCCTCAGTTCTCGCCAAGTTCAAGGCCCCACGGGGGACAGGGCAGCTAGACACAAAGATCAGAGGGCCAAGACGGTGGGTGGACAGCAGGGCACGGGGGCTGGGAGGGAGCCGTAGCAGGAGCCACATCACGACTCCACTCTGACTTCAAGACACACCCTGCAGCCTCCTCTGTCCCCACACGTCAGGTCTTCCCACCACTGGGTCCTGAGGGGTGACAGCCAGCTCATCCGCTACCTGAGAGCCAACCTGTGCTCCTCCCAGAAGCCCAGCGATGGGCATGGTCCACCCCAGGAGAGACCAAGTGAGAAAACACTGAGGGAGTCAGGAGCCACTATCTACGCTGTGGGACCAGGGTGCGTACAGAGCTGGTCTCAAACAGGAGGCACATGTATGAACTGGCTTTTAAAAACAGATACTGTCCAGCTGGGTTCATTTTTAGGGCCCAGGATCCACGGCCCCCCAGCAATGATGGGCAGAGCCAGCAACCCAGGTCTCTGCTTCTGTGCCTCCCTCCCCATGGACAGGAACCACGGCTCCTTGAAGAATGGCCGGTTCCACGTGTCGGTCAGGGAGCGCAAGGAGGGCGGAGAACATCTCATGGTCTCAGGAACATGTTCGGAGACCACGGGCAGACTGCCAGGACGGTGCAGGGCCCAGTGGGAAGGCCCTGGACAGATCTGGGTGATTTGAGCACCCAAGAGAATAACGATGGTAAGGGATTACAACACAAGTTTAAAAAAAAAAAATCTGGGAGTCCACAGTGAAAAGAGAGAGAAAAAAAGAGGGGAAAAGAAAAAAAGAAGCTCTTCTGCACAGAAGCACGTTAGACAGTAAAACTTGGAAGCAGAACAGAAGAGAAAATCACCAGTTTGCATTTCTGACGTTGTAACTGAGTCTGACAAGGTCACTGCTGGATGTGACACCATCGGGCAGAGGGTGCTGGGGAACTGGCTGCCCACATACTCAGCGTCGCGATATGGACCACTTGCCAACAGCAAGAAGTAAGGGGCCATCACCCCGGCATCTGGCTGGCCTCACCCGTCCCCAGAACGAGTGGGGCCCTTCCCCATCTCTGTCCTCGGCCACCTCCCTCCCTCCTGCACTGCAAAGCTCATCCACCCGTGCCCTTGCCCACACCCAGCTCCCAGCCCCCTCCATCTGGCTCCTGTGTCTGCTTGCCTGTCTCCCCACAATGGCAGGCTTGTGCACGGATCCAGGCACAGGAAGACGAGAAGAACTGAGGTCAGACACGAACTGGGCACGTGGTTTACAGGCAGGAAATCGTAGGACCCTCCCCTCTGGAGCGCCACCGC